GAAAAAGAAACCACACCACTCTTGGTCATGAAAAACAAGGTCCTGGAAACTCCAGTGCATACCGTGGAATACAACATGGACTCTTATTTGCAAGACCAGAAGAGAAGGCCCTCTCTATGGGTTACACCAACAAAGAAGTACCCCAGGTGGTGAGGAGATAGAAGAGAAACCAAACTGGACTCTGTGGACAGGACAAGACATCAGGATGTGGAGAGCTATGGAGTAAGACACCAAATCCAGCCAGACTGGGATAGAAGAGTCCTTGGGGAAAGAAGAAAGAGTAGAGAGCTGGAGATACCAAAGAAAGAGAGTTTGGCATTAAAGAGCTCCTGGATAACAGAGTTGGCATGCCAAATGTGCTGCCCCCCAACAGTTTTCACTTCCATGGGGTGACCGTCGGGGAGAGGCCAGCCCTGGACGTTTCAAGAAGAGATGCCCACATCCGAGTGGCAGGAGCAATCCAGCCCATGCGCAGCCTGCAGCTGTTCTCTGTTCTCTAGCTGCAAATTTAGGATAAAAAGAAAAACAGGGCAGGTTTTTACTGCAGGCAGTCTCTTCATCTAACAAAGGGCAAAGCAGCTATGAGCTCAGATATTATGATTGTGCGTGGTTGTTTTTCAATTGGACATTGATGCTGAATTAGGTGAAGTCCTCAAGTACCTGGCAAGCTGCTGGCACAGCCCTTACAAAGACAGCAGTTCCCATGCTAAGCATTCAGGGAAGCAGGAGATTACTCAGAGAAAACTACCTTATTTTTGTACATAAGTAATATATCACTCTCTTTTTGAGGAGGAATCAACAGAGAGCACAGGAAGCAAAAGAGCATGTGGGCAACTTGCTGCAAGCTGCAGTGCATCAGCTGATGTAACAGAGAAGACCTTGGATATCTTGTGGGAGACTCTGGATATTGGTCCTGGCATGGTAAAGGGGAAGTCCTTACTGATCAGCCATTCACCCCCCTATGCAACAACTTTGGAGAATAGCCAAGACGGGCCATTAGCCATTGGAACAATTTACTATGTAAAAATTCCTAACCATGCCCCATACAATCAGGCTGCACCTCTGGGGGAAAAAAGAAATGCCCCAGTTCATGCCATACACATAAACTCAGTGCAGGGAGAACTGGGTGAAGTTTTCTGGACTGGGAGAGGCAGGTATGTCCATACCACCTTCTTTCTGAGCACCAGTCACCCCTGAAGAATCAAGCCCAACCTAGTCAGCCTTGCTCCCAATATGACAGCAAGGCAGAATAACTGATCTCAGCTACTCTGGGAGCACAGGTTTACATCGGTTTGAAGTTTCAGTTGTGGGGAGCTGCCTCCTCCTTGCTGCTTTTTGACTCAGTTCTAAGGGTGCGATGACTGTTACGAAAGTAGATGCAGGAATTGATTTTCAGGAATTTTAACAGGGTGAAATACAATCACATTTAGGCACCTAAATCCACGCACATGCCTAAGAGGTGGAATAGAATCTGCCCCCCCGTGACTTACTAAGTATCAAAGGGATCTGGAAGCAGAATTCAGGAGTCCAGTGATCAGACCTCTGGTGCTACTTGTCTGGCACATGTTATCCAAGGAGCTCAAAGAGCTGTATGGAGGAGAAGGCATATGTTTATCTCAGGTATCCAGGTTGTAGCCGTATCGGTCTAGAGGAAAAAGCAATCAGGACTCATAGTAGAGATGATCTCTTTTATTTGACCACCGAGATTTTCGCAGCGTTGCAATTTTGTTGTTGGTCTAATAAAAGAGATCATCTCTACTACGAGTCCTGATACGATTATCTCAGTTATTTGAAGCAGAAAGTGGAGGCACTAAATGTTGATGCAACTTCCTAAAGGCCACGCAGAAGCCATGGAAAGATGCTACATTTGTTACTACTGCTACTTCTGTCCCTTGGAGAGCCCCTGTAAGAGATGGGGCTCTTGCAATGGTGACTACTGTGGCCAGCAGAGCTGAAGCTCTGCTTGCCCAAGCCCACATGGCAACACTGTGTGTGCGCGTGCACATGCGTGCATGTGTGCGTGCGTGTGTGTGTGTGTGAGTTTAGTGCTACAAAGTCCTTAGTGTACAAATGGCTGACCAGAGTCACCAGGAGAGCTGGGATTAGATCCTAGCTGTCTTGGTCCCCTCTCTGGTCGTACTTACGAAGTTATGTCTTCCGCACTCATCCTGTTCCCTGTGATGTTGGGAACATCACTGCACTATGCCATTGCATTGGACCTAAATAGTGAGACTGACCTGTCAACTCTCACTGTTTGGACTGAGCAAGGAATAAATCCCAGAAAAGCATGAAGGTGAGAATTAAGAGACTGGTACAAGGGGGGTGGGGAACGAGACACCTCTCGTATTAGAAGTAGATAGGGATGCAAAGAAACAGATGAATTTTGTCTACCTACATCCTCTTTAACACATCAAAAGCTATAGCTCTGTTTGATTCTCACTTCACCCTCCAGAGGATGATCAAGGTCACGGTAAAGGCAATGTGAAGTAAGTTGGAAAGAGATGCTGGAAACAAGGGTCCTCACTCATAAGAAAATGGGCAGCAGGTGTTTCTCCTTGTTTGGCTGGTTAATGAAGAGCCATTTTCTAGTTCCAAGGACCTCTTTAAATGTCCCATTTTGTATCACCCCGAGGAAGGCGGACCAGTCCAGCGAGGGGCCGAGCCAGGCCTCAGCGGAAATTCTGCCAGAGGCGCTGGCTCATTCTTCCCTGAAATCAATGGAGTTCAAACTGGCATGAGAGAGAAGGTAGATTCATGACATAGGTGTAACTCGGGGTACACTCCAGTTCCTTTGTCCTTGGTTTCTTTTTAGGGATAAAGCGTTCCCTTCACACATTTGAAATCTAAACTTAGATACAAATTTTGCAAATGGGAGACAAGACAGAGCTGAACCCTCCCAATCTCTGGGGTGACTGAAGCCTACATCTGCTACACAAGCCCATCCTTTGCTGCCCTTTGTTGTTTTGCAGAGAACACCACTGAATGAATGCCTAGTCTAAGAAGCACTTTCCGAGAGCAAGAGGAGCTGTGACAGAGTGGCTAGAAGAGACGCTGAAAGCAGAGCAGCACAGAAGGAGCATGGCTAGACCAGGGTAAAGGACAGGTTGGGAGAGCAACACTGATCCACTTCAAGTAAATGCTAAGTTTCCGATGCCTATCGAGAGCAGCTGGTTGTGTAGCCATGGTGCCAGCACTGGTCACATACATGGAGAGAGATCAGTGCTGATGGAAATGAGCACTGGGCTCATCTGAACAGAAAAGGAGGTTGTGGTTTCCAATTAGCCTCAATGTGGTTTCTTACTGCATCACTGCCACCTGCACATGTCTGCAGGGGTAACTGTGCACCTAGCCTCCACTGAGGGGAATCCACTGTCTGAAAGTATGGCTTGGTATTGAACATCCCTGATCCTGCAATTGCACGCCCTTGGCTGAGGGAAACCATCTATGCTTTGCACTTCCAAAGGAGGGTGGACACATACAGCATCTGTCTTTAAGACATGCTGAAAAGCCACCTTCTTTGAGAAAAAAACTTCCCACCTTGGAGGGACATTCACCAGGGTGATACTGCTCCCCACTTATTCAGCTTCTTAATCGTGTCAGGGAAAATAAAGTCTTCAATCTATACATAAAAATACCTTGCAATGTTTTACCCAAGAGGAATGGAAAGTCATGGCCTCCACTAAACCCATTAGGGACTTTGCTGCTGCTCTAAGCTTTATAAAGAACATACCACAGTGATAGGCAACGGTATATAACCCTACAATAAGGAGATCTACACAGGATTCATAGATTCATAGATGTTAGGGGCTTTATTTAGGGGACCTTATTTAGTAGGGCTAGAATATACGCAAAGGCCACACACCTGGCTATGTGTTTAAGCCTCAAGTCTGAGTCTTGGAGCTTTTCTTATAGTACAAGCACTAATGCACAGTTAGGAATATGCATACCAGTGTTAGTAATATGCATACCCATTGCCAATGCTCCTGCTCTAGAAAGCCCTGGGGCTCCTTGCTGACCTATGCCACGGGCAGATGACAGGTATGGGGTTTGCAAACCTTCAGGGCTTCCCCCTTCCCTCTCCAAACCCAAACTAGGAATTAGAGCCAGGATCCACGAACTACCATGAATGAAGCAAAAAGAAAATGATTTAGGGCTGCTCATAACTACACACCAAGCTGATGCAGAGTGTTCTATATGTGCTGATGAATAAGCTGGCAGCTACGCATTGCTAGGCTGGTGCCTGTGCAAGTATCTATTGTTAGATCTCTGCTTGCATAATAAAGCATTTAAGGCAGGCTACGTATCCTATTTAATATCATCATCCTTAGCACCAGCCTCTGTCCTGAAGTGAAGGGGCATGTGGCAGAGCTCTGCAAATGTCACTTAAGCATGTGGGAAACATTCACGTCCCAGATTTTGCGTCAAATGCAAAAAAAAAGTTGTTTTTTTTTCAAAATGACGTCAGCATTAAGGCACTCCATCCCACCTCCACAAACACGTACATGAGTACACCTTTTGAATAATGCCAGCTTTGCAAACAGAAGAGGAGCCGTATTTGATCCCATGTTTAAGGCCAAAATTGAAATTTTTGGACACCAAAGATATTCAGGGGGTTGGGAACTGATCATAATGAAATGTTGAAAAATTGCCAGGGAAAATCTGGACACCCTCCTCCCCCCATTACTTTCCCCTGATTTCTCAAGGGACAAATTCAGCGCTGATGTAAGCAAACGCCACTGTGAAACTCGATGGGGTCCCAACGAGACAGCAGAAACACAACCTGTGCTTCCTCAGATTAAGCAGATCACAATGGCAGCGGCTGAGCAGCAGCAGCGACACCCCAGAGATCTTCCACAGAACCGTCTTCTGCCAGGGCTGCTCAGACAATGCAAACACATCAACGGGAAAAGGCACTTTCAGGAGGGGACATCAGCAGAAACCAGCCACAAAACATCCCCAAACACTGACCAGGTAAAATTACCAACTCAACATCTTGGGGGTAATAAGATAACATTTAATGACCTTGTTAGGCTCGGCAAGCCCCTGGCCAGCTAGCCTCCTAGCAGCATGGGGAAGCAGCCCGAGCCTCGCCACAGCCCTGCCAAGTGACTGTAAGAAAGGATGCCGCTGGAGTTGTGCACCAGGGATCCCCACCCCGCCTTCCCTTTTTACTGGAGTTTTCATTCAGTTTTCAAGCAAGGATTCCCTGATAAAACACGCAGGTAGAGGGACTTCTAAAGCAAGGCCAGGACCATCCATGGAGAAATTGGTCAATACAGCAGCACTCTGGAGAGGAGAGAAAAATCCCTTTCCTAAGGAGCAGCAGGCCTGTGCTGCAGCTAGGCTGCTGGCAAGCTGGCCGCCCAGTCACCATTGTGATGTCCACTTAAAAAACAAGTGTCCTCACCGGCCCCAGAAGTGACACAGTAAAAAAAGGGACAGGAAGGTTTAATGAACATGTCACCAGTCTGCTGCTGGGGTCACACTTCAGTACCCAGCTCTGTGCCCACCTGCCAAGAGCTTGGCCTGGGCTCATCCCTGCTCTGCTGCTCTGTTTGCTCCAACAACCGATCTGAGGACTCGCCTGTGCTTTCCAGTTTGGCATAGCCTACAAGGCTGATCTGGTCAAGTCGAGGCCAACTCCTGTTCTTCCGGTCTTTGATTGGCGCCACGAGCAGCACTCCAGGCCTGCCAAGGTCCAGGGACTTGGAGTGACCGGGGTTATGGAGCTGTACGTCTGAAGTGAACTCTTTCTTAGTGCATTTGGGGGGCAGGAGCTCCTCACTGGGTGGGACAGGGGGAAGCCCAATGTCCATATTGACCACCACGTGGCTGCTCTGGAGATCATTTTTGGGAGACACACTGCTGTCACTAGGCAAGGGTGTCCACAAGTGCCTCAGCACCTCAGCAGGTGCCTCAGCTGGACTGCCCTCCCCTTCCTCCCCTGCCCCCCGAGCCACAGCCTGTTTCTTCGAGAGGCAGTTGTTTAGCTTGATGACGGGAAGCGGCAGCGTGTTGACAGCTGAGGAAATTACCGACTCAGCCCCATAAGCAAAGGAAAGATTGAGGTTCCCTTCCATGGAGTTGCCCAAACCCGAGTGGATGCTCAGGAGGGAGATGGCAGGCGAATGGCCCTTGTGATGGAGCAGCTGGGCCGTCGTCTGGAGCTTGTTAGGTCCATAGCAGTCGGCCCATTTGTTCCCAGGGCTGGAACAGGATTGGAACCCGCTAGAGGAGAGATCCACCTCGTAGCAGCCCTCCACGCACTCCGCGTTGGCCTTGAGGATGGGCAGGCTAGTCCTCCGCTGGAAGTACCTCTCCTCTGGGCTTGCCACCTGGGGGAGGCCCAGGGTCATGGCATAGAGGCCCTTCTGCATCAGCAGGCGAGTCTCCATGTCCCTGTTCTCGTACAGCATGGTGTTGGCGCAGATGAAAATGAACAGGCCAATACCCATGATGACAGGGCCAATGAGCTTCAGCTTCTCAGTAGAGGAGAGGTGGCGCGAGTGGGCAGGTGCCTTCACTTCCCTCCTGATGCTCCCCGTGCTGCTGGAGTTCCTTGAGCTGGCCCCAGATCCTGCTACAGATGTGCTCCGGTGAGGCCAGTAACCCACAACAGCAATTGTCATGCCAACCAGGACCACGGAGATGCCCACAATCACAAAGGCCCCTGAGGGTGAGCGCATCCGCAGCTGCGCCTTCACAGTCAGCTCCGGCGGAGGTTTGCGCCGCCTCCTGCGGCCATGCCGCCGGGAAGGAGGGGCAGGTCCCGGCGGCTTGTTCTCCAGAGTGTCCTGGCTCTTCATGGCTCCCGCGGCTTCAGCACTCCCGGCCGTCATTGCACTCCCGTTGTTGGGTCTTTCTACAGGGTCAGGAGGGAAAAAAAAATAGATGAACAGAAGAAATCACTAGCAGGCAGTGGAGGAGCAGGGCTCACATCCCACATACACCTAGGAGCACTGGGCCTCTGATGGAAAAAAGGGAGACAACACAGTACCAGTGGGGAGGAAAATGGGGCCTGGCTGAGATTAGCTCACATTCAGACTTTTTACCTTCCTCTGTCTTTCTCTCCTAAGTTTTCCTGTAGTCATTTCTCTTACTCTCACTCAGGAGCTGGACGGTGGCTGACCTGCCAGGGTGGGTCTTTCAAACCCAGGGGCCCAATCCACACCCACAAAATAGTGAGATGACACCTAATGATTTACTTCTTTATTGGTCCTGTTCCTCCAGGCACCTAAATGTTGAAGACTCCAGTGTGTTACCTGCTATCCTGACACAGGACAAGACGACAGCCCCTCTCCCAAAGGGCTCTGGAAAGGACTATGGGTACACGTGCCTCTCTGTACTTGTGTAAATGGCTTTCTGTACAAGTGAAGCACGTGCACACACACTTTTTTGACAGGAGAGATGCAGCCACGTTTAACCAGTCATATTGAGGGCAGCGTTAGCACTAGAGCCAGGTCAATTTTTGCCTAAGGAAGGAAACGGGATTTCATTTTGTCCTGTTCAGGATGTCAAAGGACATTACAAACACTAAGCAATTTAGCCTTCATCAGTGGCACCTATAATTATTCCACCTGATTTGTCAGCTAGGAAAACTGAGGCACGGAGAAAGAAGCAACTGGTCTGAAAGCCTTGCAGTTGAGTTTGTATGGATCAAAACTTAGCTTTCCCAACTCCCAGCCTTCATGCCTTGCCAGCAACCCTCTTCCTCTGGGCGGCCTGGAAAATGACTTTGCTGGGGTGGGGTTGGAAAAGCCTCATCAAAACAGCAGAGGGTCTTGGGAGCTGCAGGGTCACCCATTTGCTCTGTTTGCTATCAAAACAAGGATTTAAAAGATAATGATCAGCATTATCATTAGGAACTGCTGCTGAGCTGGGTGTCTGTTCATTAGGCCATGAGATTTCATAAATCACGAGCAACTATCACTAATTCAAGAGGTGCTGCGTCCCACACTCAGCAGGCTGCTCTAGCACAGATGCCGGAAGCAGGGCACAACCCGGCCCCTGTTCCCCTGCAGGTTCACGGGGCTGGCGGTGCAGTTTGTCAAAGGAAGCTGCTGCATCGTGAAAGACGCAAAGGGAGTAGCGTGGTGCAGCGAGGCAGGGGTCTGCGTGCGGAGACGTTTAGCCAACCCTCGTAATTAACTCTGTGTGAGGGCGTCACGCGCCAGATCAGTGGGCGAGAGGAAAATCTCTTTTCTAATTAAAGAGACATTGTCAGGAGGAGGCTTGGGGATCACTCCAGCTGAGAGAAGGTTAAGAGTCTGTTTCACCGAGCTCTGGATCTGCTGTTTACGCCTCGATCGTTGCTCAGCCCGGGGAATGAAACCAGCCTAGCTGGCTTCCCTTCTGTCACACACTGCAGTGTTTTCTGGTGGTCCTGAATTAGCTCCTAGTGTTTTTTTGGGGGGGGTTCAATGCAAATTCCTACACTGAAGGAGCGTGATGATCTCAAAATCCCTGTTTCCAGGAATTTGTGCCTCTTGCATAACAAAAATACCTTCCCAGGTACATATTACTCAGCAGTTTGTTACATACAAAGCAGCAGAGCCCGTTTTCTAGGTCAGTTATAGAGCTGGCTGAACGAGCTGACCAGGCCTTAGCAGTTACCCATATCGACTTGAAAGAGTTGTTGTGGGGCCTGGGAGTATGCTGCTGTGTTAGCAAATAGGCACCAGCTGAGCTGCAGAGGCTCATGTTTTTGCCAGAAGCAACCAAAGCAAACCCCCAAGCAATCAAAAAAGGCATTTTCCACATTAAAAAAGCAGAGGAACATTTTTTACCCCCCATGTCATGGATCAAAAGCATGGTACAGCTTACCAGCCCTTGACCAATGAGCAACACGGGTTGACTCTAGGTAGGTTTGTGTTCATCCGCCGCATGGAGAACTGTTGGTTAGGCACCGTGGCAGCAAACACTTGGAGGACCAAGCTGGCACATGGCTGTGCTCTTGTTGACCGGGTTGGGATGCTACGTTTTTGTGGCTTGCAAAGAACCCCTTCACTGTGCCAATGTAACGGACTTGGCGAAGCCTCTTTCCTCCCTTCTCTAGCTGTCTTGGGGCATCCCAGAGCACACTGTCCCACCGCCTGCAATTCTGGGCATGCTTGATGTCTTGCTGAGGCAGGATGGGAAAGCTGCCCAGAATTTCCCACAATGCATCAATACAAACACACAGCATGGGAGGTGTGGATGTGCCATGGCTGAAAGGCAGAAAAAACTGCAGCGTGGACATGCTCCAAGTTGTGTTACATGAATGAGGTTAAAGTGACTGTGCTTCTAAATCACAACTTTAGGTCTAAAGCCAGAAAGTAAAATTGATACACCACATGCAGGGAAGAAAGGCAACCCATTTAATTCCGCTGAATGAAGCGCAGAGCCAGCAAACAGCATAACCAGTAGAAAGGAAATTAAATGCAAGGATTCTTCCAGCTTTAATCATCTTAAGGTGCTATTAGTATCACAAGGAAGGAATTAAATACACAAGTTTCATGATGACAGTGTGTTCCTGGTACAGGGCTGTCAAGCTTGACAATTTGAACAAGCGAGATTTAGAAGGAGAAAAAAAATCCACAGCCCACTGATAAGTGAGATTTTAAATGTGCATTTGAAACACACTGTTAAATCTTTTATTGCAAGAACAGGCACTATAAACACAGTCACCTCAGGCTATGGAGTCAGTCCCAAAATGAGTGAGATTTTCTCCCTCCAAACCTGCTACTGGGTGAAGTTACCCAGTGTTTTAAATCTTCCCTAATGCATCCCAAAGATTATAGTTCCTTTTCCTCCATGACCCTTTATTTATATTACATTGTCTTCAGCCCTCAATGGACAGCAACTACCCTTACAATCTTAGTAGGGATGTGAAAGGTTAATCGTTTAAATGATAAGCACAGTCATACCTGTAATGTGGGTAACGTGCAATCCAGTGGGGCAGGGAAGTGGTGTGGTGACTC